CCCACAAAGTTTACAAGGGTTCTTTACAAACATGCACAAAAACTATCATATATATGTCTTTGGTTGATGAGTGCCAAGAGAGCAAAGAAGGGAAGAGATTGTCAAAGCATTAAAACACGCCAACGCCAGGGAACGGCTGGCATTGTCCGGGCGTTAAAACACGCCCGCGCCAGTCAAAGAGTTAAAGAGGCCTGTACGCTAAGTGATGTTCAAGCAAATGGAGCACCATTTGCAGTGGCATAAGGTTTTACATAAGACAGTGAACTGAAGCTTCTTTACACAACCATCCAATATCTTACATATACTCCAGTGTTACTGAGATGTCACCTCTTAAGCAAGTCACTTGTATACAGCCAAATGCGATGTGATATTTAAATCTGTACCTGAAAGTTGGTGCCAGAAAGACACAGATGTCTCTGATGTGCACCGGAATGTTGAATGTGTGCAACACATAGTGTATGCTGCCAGATGTGAGCATCAGGCCTGGATACACGGTGCCCCCCACAATGCGGCCCAGTGGGTACCATGCTCTTTCATCGAACCAGTTCAGGAAATTGTAAATACCATTCTTCACCATGTATGCTGTGGACCGATAGTTAAACCTGCACAGAACCATTAGTTACAATTCAGGATATGTTAAAAAAGGAGAAGGAAAGGTGAACCACACTCTTATATCTCTTGGCGTGTGCCAACAGAAACTACTGACACAAGCATGCATAATGAAGAGCTTCTATTAATTAGTCACCATCAAGAGAAAGCAAACACTGCATATGGGGCAACTGTGTAATATGAAAACACCCGCACATGACAGAAAGATGAAAAATCAAAGGAGCCACACCTGAGCTAAAATGAATGAAATTACATAAAATACTTCTTTGGCGACACAAGTACTTAACACGCATGTCTGCATCACAATTTTAACAAGTTCATTTCCTGCAGAGCCTTTACCCTGGGGACTTGCAACAACAGGTGCACAACAATTCATTCATTCATTTTATTTGGCATTCATAATTGCTACAACAGTAACACTTGAACAAGTCACATCATTAAATACATCATTCATGAAATTCTTTTGGCCAGATGCCTAATGGATTAGAATTTGTCAACAATAAATAATCACTCTTGACATGGCTAACCTATAATTAAAATACAACACACACTATCAAACCAGACAAATAATCAAATTGGATACAATATGTAAACCGAAATGCAAGCCAACATTATGAGTTTATCAAGAGAATTATTACAGTATTAATACAGCATTAAAGTAAATAAAAAATCCTACACATGACCATGTTAGTCACCGATCAAATTAAGATACTACAAGCAACCATTTGTTATCTATTTCCATTGCTGAATAGAGGTTTTACTAGTCTTACTACTGCCCCTCTAAGAGAAACTCATACAATGTATAGAATGAATGATCAGTAAAAATAATTTTAGTCCATGTTTAAAGTCTTCACATCTGTTTGATTTTCTTAATTCCAAAGGCACTCTATTATACAATTTAATACCCATATTGATAACATTTTTCTTACATGGGTTCAGGGAATGTTGTTATATATTTCATCTACAGATGTAAGTCCAAAATACAAGATCATACTGCTTTTTCGAAATGAGAAATATCAGTTCCTGTCACAGCATGTATCTAAATCATCCAAGTCAATTACATTAGCCTGGATCAGACATTTAGTATAACACAAAGGTTGTTGAGAGTAGCCAATGTATTGAGATCACTATTTTCACAGTCACTATACAAATGAAACAACTTATTCTCTCAATGCACTGATAACTAAGAGGTAAAATCAAAGCATAAACCAGCTTACACTAGAAAGATATACATGTACATGTAAAAGTGTGTGCCCCACAAAGAGAAGACCATTTATTTGCCAGAAAGATTTTCAGAAATATTTTTGTCCCTATCCATGAGACCAGTAGTCTTCAAGCACAACTAGAGAACAGGGGGCTATTGGTCAAAATTTGCAAATAAAAGCATCAACAAATGAAAATAACAAGTTAATGCCATGCACACATCTCAGATGTATCAATTACTATGCATTACATGTGCTGAATGAAACACCTGAGGTGATAATCAAATGGTCATAAGTAAAGTAAAGTAAAAGTAAAGCTATCCCTGTACCAGGCCGTGAAGGCCCATACGGTGGTGAGACGTTGAGGGTTCCACTTTATCTAGACAATCAGCTCAAAGATGGCGGTAAGGTTGGCAACGTTACATGCCAGCCATGCTTTACTCCCCAGGAAAATTATTTAATTAATTCCTGGTACTCATTTCTGTTAGAGGCTGAGCTGACCCCAGGGCCATAGTGGGGCTGAAATGTTTAGGTCAATTGAAAAAATCAAATGACCTCGTTAGGACTTGAACCCATGACCTTCCAGCTTGTAGCATAGCCCCCCAACCAACTACTGTGTGCACAGTTAATTTAAATATACCTTTGAAACGTTTGTCTACAGGGACTGAGGAAAGCCACAGAAAATCGACATTGCTCATAACATATATAACTTAAACAGGCTATTTCCTGAATAGATAAATTCTTTCAAAACATGACAATAAAATGAACCCGTATAAAAACAATTTTGCTGTAGTTTACAATGTTTAACATAACATCTTATATATTCTGCATGACATTTATTCTCTACCAATTCCTGATCTCATGTCGCAACTTCACCAATGCAGCACTAATTCTACACTCTGCATCAAAATTGAAAGTCCTGGAAGATCAGTAATAAGTTCAAGCCGGCAGTTTTGAAAGTGCGAGAATTTAGGCCCTCGACGCGGTGACCATTTGTCTTACATGATGAAATGCAAGGTAGTCTGGTACACACTGAAATTTTGGAGGAACATACCACCTTCATATTCAGGGCAGGGGAATAAAATCCTTGTCTATCCTGCAGAAAGACGCAGTATCTTCTTTCAAAACGCTGGTATTTATTCACCACACTACACCTCACATCCCAGAACACAGTAAACTTCCTTGAACGAATACATGAAAATCCAGTCTAACATTATCTTATGTAGTCGGCAAAATTTTTAAGTAGAAGAATACAGTAAGCAAAGAAACTTCCAGCTGTACTTAAATGTAAACATCAATACAGACGAAAATGTGTATATACAGTTTCTAATTTGTTAGAGCAAGTAACACACACCCTCCGGTATACCAAACTTCCTTACCAAGGGTCGAATTCATGAATGATGCTTTCAAATCGTATTACCGCAAACAAACGAGATGAAAATCCTGAAATCCATGCTAATAACAAAACTGTAAATGTTATTAAACTTTTCCATCCTGACGAATTTGAGATTGTTGTTTTTACATAGCTGGCAGAAGATGACACCGCCATCTTTCCACAAACAACATATACACGTTTGAGGGCTACTTCCTTTGGGATGACGGAAGTTGTTCCGTCGGCTCATCCTCAGTCTTAGGCGTCTTAGGCGGGGACATACCAAGGAATACTGGCAACCGCAACGAAACTGCAATTTCCGAGAATTGTTATCAGCGGGAGTTGAACACATGATACTAAATTGAGCACTGCATTTGCGACAATGCAGTTATTGTATGATGCAACACAAATTGAGGCTTCAGTAACATGTGTTCAACTCAAGCTGATAACAATTCTCGGAAATTGTGGTTGCGTTGCGGTTGCAAGTATCATTGGTGTACCCTCGGCTGAACACCTTCGGTAAACACTAATGAAGAGATCTATGATGATTTCGATACTTGACACGGATCGCAATAGTATACTTGGTACTTTTCATGGTTCCGATATAAATCTCATATTGTTCATAACCGCACAGCTGATAGCGCTGAGAGCTCTTGTGAGAACTTGAAGTTGTGGGTGCCAGATGACGGATTTTCTCACCATAAAAGAAGCTCCAGAGTTTGAAGCTATATTTGTGAACTTTGTGAAGGTTCTACTTCATGTTTAATATGCCACACTTAATACAGAATTAACGATTACAGGATATTGTAGCGTTTCCCTGCATCACATGAATACGACATTATCCAAGCTGCCTGAAGATGGGGGGTGTGGATGTTACAGGTTGTTGGTTGAATGGAACTCCTACAGCTTTAAAGTTGTATTGCTGCAAAATGGATATGCCTGGAATGGACATGTAAGGCTCTAAATAGTGTCTTTAATTTTACTTAGAAGCCATAGATGAAGAAGGAGGAGATACGAGGTTCTCTACAGCCCCTACCTAATAGACAAAACTATGGATGTACACGTTTCAGGCATCACATGGCCACATAGAGCAACTGAGTCAACTGCTACAACTGTCAGTTGAAGAGTACATGAATGAAACCAAATTGGCGCTGTCCACACAAGGAGGAGCGAGACATTTCACATATCTCATTGAAGATGGCAGATTCGTGTGGAAAAAACTGGACCAATGTTCCAAGATCAGGATGAAATATGGTTACATCCAATTGCAAGAAGTAAGAGCTAGCATGACTATTGTGGCAATTAATGGTGTTTGGGGTCAGGGAGCATTTGACTTTACAGTTTTCAAAATATATGTGGTTTTACAAAAAGTTGATGGTATACACTTGATCAGATCAGGAAGTATCACTACCTCAGGATCATTCTGGAAGCACTGAATCCATACCTTTTAAATTTTTCGTAAGGTAATTTTATCGTTGAACATAATTATGTACCATGCCATGTAGGGTCGTAAGTATGTTAAGCATTTTATGTAAAGACTCATGCAGTCTAAAACCTTATATTTCATAATGCAAAATCTACCAACATTAGGTAAAAAAAGGTAAAGTCCCTGCACTTAACTAATTAAGCCATAAAGACATATAGGGGAGTGGATGTATAGATCCACATTTTCTTGGCCTTGGCACTAGCTGGATGTAAGTGGTCAGCTTCCCACCCCTGCCTCTTTACCCATTGGATAGGGGGCTGGGTAGAGGCCAGAGCTGGTCTGGATGATTTGGAGGAGAGAAAATTCTTGACCCTACTGGAACTCAAACTCTGACCCCTCAGTTGTCCAGCCTGTAGCCAGTCGCTGTACTGACTGTGCTATCCTGGCTTAAAATTAGGCAGTAAATAAACAACAGATGAATCAAAACCAACTGAATATCGAATAGGTTCTATTATGGGATTCAGACTGCAATGCACAACAACACAGAGATATGGTGTAATGTGGGATCCTGTAGTCTGTGTAGATGGTATGTGTGGTCTTCTGGTGGATCACATTGGACCAAAACTGACAATATTTGGTGCAAACTTCCCCGTACTAAATTTGATCAAAATTTGTTAAGTATCTCATAGTGACCTGGCATTGCAGACTACATATTATGAGGCAGCAGAGGTGATGCTGGATTCATTGCTGGAGCAGTATTGCAACATCAAGATGGAAGCTGATGGCCTGCAGAAGACTAATATGGTAGCAGAGCGAGGTCAGTAATTGCACATATGTAGGAATTCAACTTGGTTGCACTAAAACAGTTCTTGACTTTGTAATGCAGCTTTTGTTCAGATGCATGTTGTGAAAGTTCATATTTAATAGGCAATACTTGAAAACAGTTTGCAGTTAATTAACAATTAAACAGTGGGCTTGTAAAGTCTTTAATTTAAATTGTATATAAAGGTCACGTAGTTCAAATATTATGTTTCAGGACATTATCCATCGTCCTATCTTCGTCTAAAATACTGCCCTGTTTATATTGCAAACACAACATTTCAGAGACTGGATTCTGTCTCCACCTCTTCAGGTAAACCCTACTCAGTTGGTCCAATGGATAGAGCTAGTCTCATCTCCAGAGACAGGGAAACAGTGTGTTCTTTAATATAAACAGGACTGTGGTTTTAGATAAACACAGGAGAATGGATAATGTCCAGAAACATAATATTAGTACTAATGTACCATCATCACAAACTTATAGATTTTCGTCACATAGTTCTTAATTCATCCAGTAAATGAAAGTGATTTAAATTCTAAGGAAGAATTGGACAGCAGTGGGTCAATTGAAAAAATCCAACGACCTCATCGGGACTTCATCCCGCAACCTTCTGGCTTGTAGCATAGTACCTCAACCAACTTCGCTGCCGCGTGTGCCAAGAATTATATACATGACATAATGACAGACAGATAATACCAAACAACATTTTGTCTTATGCAGAAAGGGCTGTCTTGATGGAGAAATTGGTGGAGTACAAGAAGCAAAAGCTGGAGATGGAACACCAACTGTTTGGCCGATTCCTGGTAGTTCTTAATAGCAAGAAGGAGTATATTCAGCAGCTAGAAGACAGGCTTCTTGGTACAATATTTATGCTTTGTAATTGCAGCATAAGTGATTAGTAAGAGAGTTGCATCAAACTTAGTTTCAAGTACACGGTTCATTGGAGGTTGAGACTGAGACAAGCTGATGATCCAGGTTTACTGAAGGCTAAGGACTCAAACATGCTGATACAAGGGGGTACCCAAAAGAAACCGAACTTAATTTTTTTTTAAACTTATTTATTCAAATTTTAAGTGCAAACCTTCAATCCCCTTCAAAGTACTCACCACTTACACTAATACACTTGTCTAGTCTTTTATTCCATTTTTCAAAACATTGTCTAAATTCATCTTTTGAGATGCTTGACAGCGCCTCCGTCGTTTTTTCCTTCACCTCAGCAACATCAGCAAAACGCTTTCCTTTCATGTCTCTTTTCATTCGAGGAAACAAAAAAAAAGTTTTGATCATTTCGGGACTCTTCTTTCAAAGCACAGCATGCTTCCACGCGACCTTGTTTTTGTTCAGCAGTCAGCAGTCGTGGCACGAATTTCGCAGCCACCCTTTTCATTCCCAAATCTTCTGTCAAAATTCGCTGAACTGAGCTCCAAGTCACTCCCGACAGCTCCACAATTTCTTCAATGGTCCGTCGTCGATCTTCCTTGATGATTTCACGAATTTTTTCAACATTTTCATGTGTTCAGGCCATGGAAGGACGACCAGAACGAGGTTTGTCATCAATTGACATTTCACCATTTTTGAAACGGGAAAACCACTCAAACACTTGAGTTTTCCCCATAGCATCGTCCTTGTACGCCATTTTTAACATTTCAAGAGTTTCTGTTCCACTTTTCTCGAGCAAAAAGCAGAATTTCACCGCCACACGCTGTTCACGAAAATCAGCCATTGCAAAAACAATGATCACACAAAACAGTTGTCACTATAAACTCTGCCAAAACTAGTCCTTACCTTCTGAAGCAATGGTAGTCGGCTTATCGACTCAGGAATGTTAGCTCTATGCGCTCATAGCGGCAAAACTCGGTACTACAAAAGCTCTGCCCACAAAAAAATTAGTTCGGTTTCTTTTGGGTACCCCATCGTATTTAAAGTTCTAAAAATTAAATTCTTTTGTTACATTTTCTTGCTATCATAATGTATTTTTCCAATCTGTCTTTACCACTCTCTTGGGTAGTTTACAAAGTCTGTTTGTTATGGAATGTATCTCAATAATTTCAATCAGTATCATTTCCTCACACTCTATTTAAGATCCATTTTGATATTATCCTCACACAAATCTAGCTGGTATAGTATCACACTGTAGATCTGTGTGTGGGGGGTGCTCAGTTCAAATCTTGTCCTGACTGAGGCTTTTCATGGCTTCCTTCAATCCTTTCAGGCAAATTCTGGGATAGTACCTTCATTCAATTATACCAGAAAGACCTCATTCCAAATCCTATCCAGTTGATTTCTGAACCTACCATTTGATACTGTATAGTTTGTGATATTGCAAGGCTGCACCATAGCTGAAGCGGTTAGTCACTGGCTTCCCACCACGGTGGCCCGGGTTCAATCCTTGGTCTGGTCAAGTGGGATTTGTTGTGGACAAAGTGGCGCTGGGGCGGATTTTCTCTGAGTACTTTGGTTTCCCCTGCCTATCTTCATTCCGCCAAATTCTCCATCATCATAATCACCCAGGGCAGGTACAATAGGCCATTGCCATGCTGAGTGGACCCAGTTGGACTCCACCCCCCACTATGCAAATTTTTGTGATATTGTAAGTGTTGTAAAAAAACTGTTAAAGGTACTACTAAGTCTTCTAAACAGCCTCAGCCCTTGAAAGTTTTGCAAGAAAAATACTGAACACATTTCTTGCCTTTTCCATATGTGCGTGCCTCTCACAGCCTCCTTAATTTTATGACACTGATACATAATATTTAGTAAGTGGTACAGATTATGAAGCTTCTCATTATGCAGAATACAGTTTTCTGGCTTGTAATGCCGCATTGTTTGGAGAAGCCTCATTTTCTGAACTATGCAGTAGACTACTCTTCATAGTCATCATCACTCTGAAAACCCCAAATCCAGCGTTCTCACTATGCAGTTTTCTCCAGCCCTCTGTCACTCCCTCTTTGTCTTTAGTTATAATTCTTGTATTTATTTTCAATTTTAACTTGGTCGATATTAATCTTTTCTTACCATACATATTGATTGTGTATAGAGAGCTTTATGAATCTGCCTGAGGCTAATGTCCAGGATTGTAATCGTATAAACCGCTAGAACAAAATGCATGTTGCACAATGTATTTCTTATAGAAACTATTTACCAAATGATTTTCCTCAACCTGTGCAGTGAAAATCCAGAATAATACCATGAAATCTGCCACATCTGCTTCCTCTTAAATCTTTCCCATTTTGGTGTACATAAAATAATCTTGTCATATTTTTTTTATGCTAATGACCTCTAATTGCTGTCTCAAATCACATGAAACTTAAAATACTGGGCCATGGCCCCCCCCCAAATACTTACAGCTGTGCTTTAAAGTGTTAAAATTGCTTGCACTGAATTCTCCTCTGATAGCAGCAGAAATTTTCTGAAGTCCAACTTTTAAATTTCTGTAATCCAACTGCAGGTGTCTCTCTTCCAGCTGGCAACAAGCAGCCTGCTGTAACCGAGCGTAGTATCCACGAACCAGTGCAGGATGAAAGCAGTCCAGATCATTATGACAGTGAGACTGATGTTGAGATCACAGATGATGAGAGGAAAACTGACAGGATCCTGCTGAGTGTCACAGATAATCTCTTTGATGATGACAGAAAGCCATTGAGCACCATACCAAAGCGTGTAAGCCGTCCCAAGAGGCATGTCTTGGAGTCAGAAGCTGGACCAAGTTCAAGGAAAGTCACCAGAACCACTGTGGAGAGTGGACACACCAGAGAGTTCAGCTCACAGGACTTATTGGAGGACATTTAATTATAGCAGAAACAGTGAAAACACTATCATCATCACCTGATATTATCAGTTCCTCTTGAACATATGACACACAAAAGATGACTGTCACAACTGTCTCACCAGTGAACAAATTATATTCCTCCCAAAGTGAATGGCATATTTGGAAAGAAACGTAACATGGGACCTTAGACTTCAGCTTTCTCACTGGCCAGATAATTATTGGACTTTGTTGGAAATTACAGGTAGATTTTTCTGTCTGTCCACGGGATTGCGTGACAGGATTAGTGGGGGCCACTGTCATCATGTCTGATGCAAAAAAGAGCTGGCCTTTGGAATATCAGGCCTTTAGAAATTTCAAAGGTGCATATTCCAAATAGTAAAGACTGTGAACACATCATGTGGGTAGCAATGAAGAAGCAAAAAAGGTGGTTAAAAGACTGGTTCAGTGGGCTGGTGGAAGATTTCTATGATGTGGGCATACAGAAACTTGTCACGCGATACATCAAGTGCCCAACCTTCATTGGGGTTATGTAGAAAAATGCTTCTACATCTGTAGTAATGATGTAATATAATATTTTTTTTTTATCACCAAGCAGTCTTTAGTTTCTGGACCCTCATACTTGCAGCATTGTTGCAGTTGCATGCTTGAAGGTAAAATTGCTTTGCTGATGAAATAGAAAGATGTTTAATGTAAGACAGCATTATTTGAAACTGGAATATATGCATTGTGGGGTGAGGCAGTATAAATGTTTCTTGCATAACCCATGCACCAAAGTCATGATTTTCTGGAAATGAAGTGCCCCTCATATACCACCAAGGACATTATTTCTGACCTCTGCCTCACTGCAGTGTCTGCTGATTTAATTTGTCTGCTAGTGCATGGGCAGTATCAGGAGGGGCAAGCCAGGCATCTGCCCCCTTCATCTGAACCTGGATTTTCAAAAGGTATAAAAAATTGAAGGAATGAAAGAAATATGCTAACAGAAGTATTCATAGGTGTACTTGAAATGCATAAACTGACGCTTGTAAGCATATTTTCTGGTGCTTCCCCCAGAAAGTACACATATAATGGTGGTACCCATGCTCTAGTAAATTGTACTGTGGAGTGAATGATCTTTCAGTAGTGTGTTAGTATTTGATAATGGCTTCAAAGTCACTGTTGGAGCATCACTGGAACAGAAATATAGGTTCTGGATGGAAACAAATCAAGTGCTGAACTTATGTAGACATTTCTTATGACAACAGGATGAATGAAGCAGGCATGCTTAGTAAATGCTATGTGAGCCTTTCTTGATTAATGTTGTTTTAAAGTGCTTGTCTGTATTACTTTCCATTATTTCTAGAGAAGTTTGGAATATTTACAGGGAGAGGGGTAGAAATTGCCCAAAAACAAATGAAGAGTGAGACTAAGAAATAAAGATAAGTGGGCCCTGTGCCTAGTAAGCACCAGGGCATGAAGATGTGGGGATATAGCTCCACATATTCTTGATATTAGATAAAAAGTGAGTAGTCAGTTTCACACTAGCAGTTTTATTCCCTGGGAAAGACAATTAAGTACACAGTAGACTGGAGAATTGAACCATGGTCACCTGGCCCACTGGTCTGGTTTTATGCTCTCCTTGATGTGAATCACTTATTCTTACAGAACCCAATGTTGCAGTCATTCAGTTTCCTGCTTAATTAGAGTTAATAATGGATTATTCGTGAGGCAATGATTAGAAAGTATACATGTGACATGTACCTCCATTTCAATTCCCTCAAAGGTGAAGTTGCGGAATGAGCACAGACCATAACTACTATCTGACGTGTTGATGTCTTTTTCATATCACCCATGTTTGTATAAGAATAGACCTTTGGACGATTACCCTCCTATCCAATGACTTCCAGGGCATTTTCACCAGGGTAAAGGTGGCCGTAACATGAAGCAGTCTACTTTCCGTGCAAATCATCTAGAGTACTGTACAGAGCGGCAATTTTATTTACATAAGGTAAGGTGAAGCAATGAAGCTGATTTGAAGATCACCTTCTGTTGTTACACGATAAAGGTGGTGATCATCACTATGGGAAAGCTACGGTAAAATTATCGTGCCATGCCAGTTCTTGTACCATCGATAACAACAAACTCGGGTCAAAACATATGCCACCATGATGACTCAGGCGACTCTCCTTGCCATTTCCGGGCAACCCCGATGCGTCATTCCACACGAGATTCGGAAACTTTCGTGACTTCTCGGAACAGCTCGAGAATGACGTCATGCCACATGACGCGGGGTGAAGTCATCGTGTTATTTGTAGATTCTATATGTCATCAGATAGATTGAGGGTTTCCCCGCAAGTGGAGGCTGTTGTGAGTCATCCAGGTGAATCTTGGGGTCCAGAACTATGTTGTTCCACAGCAGTAGTAGTGACAGCGACAACAGCCAGGATACCGCCGAGGTCGTCAGCCCCACTGTGGTGAGTACTAATTATCGATCGGGTCGTAGCGTCTGTCGTCCCTTTGTCCAGCGATACGGGAAAGGCATTTTTAGTTGGTAAACCACGAGGGAAGATACCATTTCGAGTCGTGGCCTGTATTAACTACATAGGGCTAGCATAAACTGGCCGTAGATGAGTGTTCAAGCAGAAGTAAGGTTGTGCAGCCAGATTTAACCAAAATTAGGCGGCCAGGCAGTGAACGTTCCTATTCCGACAGTATAGCATAATTAGGTGACGGCTGAGCTTCACGCTCCGACTGCCTGCGACCTAAGTCAGTGTTGACAAAACATGACTCGCCGAATGAGGCGAGCGTGACCAATTGTAGCCAGACGGACAACGGACTTTCACCCGGAGCTTGGTTCGGCAGACTGGATAGTGGAAACCCACGATCAAACATCTAAGCTACTTTCATAATATTTTATGTATAAAAAATCGTCTTCAGTTCCCAGTAATTATAAATACGTGGCCGACGTGCAACTTAACTGCAATGTATAATGGTCTCAGGCTTGCAGCGACCCGATTTAAACCAAATTTGGCCTGTTTGCAGGCTCCGATGCTGTATAAGGCTTTGCAAGGTCGCTACTTAGCGCGCGCCTCCCAGCCGTATGTTGATACGCTTCATTGTGTAACCTACAATTCCTATGAAATGCAGTTCGGCTGAACATTGCTGACTTTCAACCTGAAGATTCATAACAATCGCAGCAACCCCCCCCCCGGTCTCTACTTCAGTGCCTGGTGCAGCGGCATGAAGCCTTATAGGGGCGTGGAGAGAGGCACCAGCCTTCAATCTCGCCCCCTGTATCCATTGCATAGAGGGTTGCTTGGCTCATGGATCCGCCCAACTGAGAAACCACAGCACCCTTTCTGGAATCGAATTCAGGCCGTTATAGCCCAGCACAAAACTAACGTGTTTTGAAATAATAATTACATGCGGTACGCATGATGGAAGATAGTTTAATATTGCAAGTACAGATTCAGTAAGCCTCTTTCAGGGATCTTAATGTCTCATTATTGCGCTGAACGTTTATTGATCAGGAAGCCTGCAGAACATGCGGTACTACAAAAAGTTCGCGTCTGCTTTATCGTTTAATGTTTCCGTACATAATACATTATTATCTTTGTAACAGAACTGGTGGCACAGGTTGTGATCTACAGAGTTCTTACACTGTGTTGCCGTTAGGTGGGTGGGTTTCAGCGTCTAAAAAGAACATAATTGCCTCCATCTTTAGGGCCGTGTGTTCGTTCAAACTGTCCCCCCACCCCCACATACGAGACCACAACAGGGGGTTTAAACCAGAATAATAATAGTACAATATGAATCACGAAGATGGTGGTAGTTCCTTCGAGGTAGGAATGCAGTTAAGCATCACCTTTCGAAGAGGCGTGTGTGTTTCAAGTACTTAACAGTTGGAACAGCACCACAATAGCGGTAATAGGAAACGATCGGATCTCAAACCTGCGAGAACTTTAACCCCCCCCCAGCCTAACCTCTTATTCAATTCCGCGAAGTCGCAACGCAGCATGACGTCAGCACGGCCTTGTAAAACAGAAGGCAGGACTCGCCGAAGCAGCAGTCGTTCCCTGCATCGCGGAGTGTGTTGAAGTGTTTCTACATGTCTCGGTTGGTTCCTTTAGGCCCACTCGTGTTGGACCAAGCAGACCTGGATGCAGACACAATGTACTCGGACTTCAGCAGTGACATTACTAAGAAGATGGTAAGTGTAACATTTCGAGCGCAATTGCGTCATGCAGGTATATCGGGGCGCCGCGCATAGTGACGTCAAGCTCCGATGACGTCATTGCTGGTCCACTGTTGCAACGTCCAATTGTGCGACCTTGGAATATTTTCCTGCATGTTTTCACTTGGGGGGGGATTGCAGGTGTCTTAAACAGGTGGACGTCCAGGTGCTACAAACGGCGTAACTCTACATCTGCTGCGTCTTTGATCGGACCGGAAAGCAATATAGTTTACCAGGAATTCCTTGCTTATCGGAATTTCCGGTTGCGCAACGTTGACTAGTCACATGATCGTCACGTGAAAGATAGCGGTCATCTCCACCCATTGTATCCTAGCATTGTACAGTGCAGTGCACTTTGCGACAGTTGTGGAAATAGCTCCTGTATGGTAAGTGGAATTTTGCAGTAGGTTACGGTTATTCGTGTACAGCCTGACACAAGTCATTGCTGGGTGACGGACAACAGATGGCACCAGTTCGGCGGTAATTTTTAGCGACAGGCTGTATAGGAAGTCAGTACTGTGACAGGCTGGGATTGACTGTCGCAGGCTGTAGACACAAAGGCAGTACTGGAACTGTGGAATGCAGACTAAAGAAAGGCGGTAGTGGTACACTATGGGATGCAGACTGTATAGAATGGAGGCCACAGGAAGCAGCACTACGGGAATATTATAGAATACTGGCTATGGGAAACCAGTGCCGGGTGACTGACTATAGGAAGGCAGTAGTTTGACGGGCGGTAGAAAAGTTTAGGGGGGGGGGAGCGTTTATGTGCGTAGAATGTGTGCCGGAATACGGAATTTATAGAATGTTAGTGCTGGATGACGGCTGAGTCAGTACTCGTAGGGGCCGTGTAGAAGTCTTGCTCTCAATTGGGTTCCGCGACAAAATTCTATTACAGAATAGAAATGATCTTTGGATTTCATTGCAGTCTTCAATTAATCTTCATTTCGGCTTGTCTTTAGATAGAAATGTCACCACATAAAAGGAATGCATTAACAGACCTGATACGCGAGTTTTGCTCCAGAGGAAAAAGCTTTATGAAGACGTGCAATTCGTCAGTTGAGATACTCTTCCGTCAGCGCGCACGTTTAACGAAACAATAATTACGCAGCAACAAAAACAGACTAAACGGAGCGCGGGATTTGAGAGGTCGTCCTTCCAGTACGAGGCCAAAGAAAATATTTGTGTAGAAAAAAAGATACATGAACGGCGATGTTTGTTTGCAATTAAGTGATGCGTTGATCTCATAACTTTATTTAACTGTTATTATTAAACCCAATTATCTGTCGTCTTTTTTTATAATTTCATAACGTTATGGAGATGATAATCACTTCTTTAGAAGCCGCCAGTTGAGCAGCGACGCAAGAATTAAACCCAATTATCTGTCGTCTTTTTTTATAATTTCATAACGTTATGGAGATGATAATCACTTCTTTAGAAGCCGCCAGTTGAGCAGCCACGCAAGAATTTCCGAATATTTTTTATTTAATGGAACACGACGGTACATTGCCGTGTTCAAAAGAGACTTCCACTGGCCCCTGTCCTGTGCCAGATCAGTCCAGCCCATACCACTCCATCTGATTCATTTTAATGTTATCCACCCACCGTAATGGTTTTCTAATGGTCTCTTTCGTTCTGCCTTTCCTACCAAAATGTTATATGCATTTACCTTCTCCCTATGCCCTGCCCATCTCATACTTGTAGACTTGATCATCATTATTATTTTGGCGAATAGTACATGATGCAGTTATAATGCGTAGAAAAATTTACTAGGGGATTCCCACAGCGAAAAGCGTTCGTGGCCGAATTAAATTTGGAAATACCCGGTATATAGGGGAGCAGTTCTGGATGATGACGATAGGGAGATACGTGGTGGACTGTACAGTGTGGAAGTTCCTTGGTGGTTGGTGGTGTGAAATTTTGATTCAAGGAACTGACCAGAACTGTTTTCTTGAACTGAATCCTATGAATAGGGCCGACAGTGCACATATGGCGTTCTGAAATATATCTGCTTACGTTAGCAGCATCTTTATATGGCGTGTACAACAAATTGCCATATCCTGAAGGATGAGCCTTTCCCGCGCCATCATAAGGGTTGTGATTATTTAGCCACGCCTATGACAGTTTTTCCACCTTCCTGATACTCGTATGTGGCGCCTCGCTGCGCTGACTGCCGGATGAAGGGCCCTTCGAGGAATTTTGTGTGGGCGGTAATCATGCATTCCCGTTTGCGGTTAGACGTTCTGGCGGCGGTGATCGTGGTTCATCCCTTGGCGTGATTTAGGGTTTCGAGGCTGGCAGAGAAGCAGCGAGAAGTGAGTGGGTGAACGGGCGCCGTGCCAAATTGTCCGGGTTAAATACAGACCATGAGAGCGCGCCTAGTCCGGTTGTGGCGGACGAGACGCGTGTCTGCCTGCGTGCCCTTTCACTGCTGCAGCAGTGTTCTCGAAAAACGAACGAACGACTTTTTGTTACACAATTGCGATCGATTATGGAGCCACTGGACTTGACCTTCCTGTCTCCAGAGCTGTGGTACCAGCAGGTGAACAATCTGCGTCGTAGTTTGGGCCTAACTGCGTAATAAACCTGCCACATTAAGGTGTCTGTAATCTTTTGTTAATAGTTTGTGACACTGGATGGGCTGAATTCTGGGGTACCAACACGAACAACGCCAACTCTGACACCAACAACACTGCGCAACATTGAGCAGACTTTCATTGAACTACAGAGTGAAGTGGAATCACACCAGAACGAGGCTGGCTTTGTCCCCCCAGTGGTGCAACCCATCACACAAGGTAGATGTCATTGCCTTATTGCCAGGACTACTGTACTGCAACAAACATTTGGTGTTGAACTTAAGGAACACTTCTAATTTGCAGGTAGCACATATATGAGCCTTGTGGATAGCAAGGGTTGGCAAGGTGGAGTAGCATCCATTGTGCAGACCCGCCCATCTGTGGTTACAGCGGCAACAACGGCACCCACCACAGCAATGACAACTACACGCAGGAATATGGGTGGAAGGCGACCCACAAAAAACAGTGGGGTATGTACCCTTCAAATGATACACTTTAATGTGCCATCACATAGGATTCCATTCTATGTGGGCTCACTGCAGAAAACAACTGTTGCTGATTTTAGGAACTCTATTTTTAGATCTCTCCTGAGGAGGAAGAGAGGAGAAGAGTGCGGCGGGAAAGAAATAAGATGGCAGCAGCACGATGCAGAAAAAGGAGAATGGACCACACCAATGCCTTGTTGCAGGTAAGAGAACATAGGTTGTACAGTTGCAAGCTTACAATTATGAAAAACAACTTCATAACACTTCATTCAAAACTGTTTTCAAATGAAAATGAAGTCAGTTTGTTGTTTGTTACCTGTATCGTACATTTTCCCCAGATATCATGCTTGTAGTATTTTTACAGTATAGGTATTTTCAAAGATATAAAAGGATTAGCATTATGTAACACTCACCTTTTTGTAGAAAAGAACTGAAATCCAAATCAACGATACAAGAGTGGATGAGGCAATATGTTGAATTCCACAGATATATTGAGGGTCATGAGCAAAAAAAAAAAAAATATAACAAAACCAAATAAGCACTTACAGAAATTACACAACTTGCTTTGTAGGCTCCTCACTACAGTAAAGGAAATCTTGGACCAAAAGAAAATTATGTGGATGGAAGATACAGAAAAAAGGGGAAAAAGAAAATGAACCCCATAAGCATACAGGTGCCACAAATACTCGAGTTAAAAAAGTCAAATAGGCATAGTGTTTTACATAGGAAGAGATAGTTGCACATGCATTTAGATCCTTGCACAATTTGGTATGGTGTAACAGCCTTAAATGTATTATTTATTATATTGTATTTTTGTCATACATACGGTGTTTGAGTTGAGATTAAGTTTGTGGAGGGCCACACTGTTGCAGGAAACAGAGGGCCTAGAACAGAAGAAACAGGGTCTGCAGCAGGAGATTCAGCAGCTGCAGATGCAGAAAGAGGAGCTGGAGTTCCTTCTCGAGGCACACAAGGCATGTTGCCGGCTCAGTGGCTCATCTGGACCTCAGTCCCCACAAGATATCAAGCCCTTCGTATATCCAGCATCTGGCCTGGAGGATAAACCAGTTCGTGTGAAGCAGGAACTTGATGATTCCAACACTACTGTGACCGTGCCACTTAGCCAGCCCATGCCCCCAAAGAGGCCTACCCTGGCCAGTGATGCAACTTCCGGAGTAAAGCCCTCACGCCCCAACTCCCTCCCTGTGGCTACAGCTTTCACACCCTCGCACAACACCCTCAAGGCTGCTGTGTCAGTTTCTGAAGTGGCTGGTGTTCCCATTACAACTCCCTCTGCTGGGATTCCATTCAACTTTGAATCACTCATGGAAGGAGGGACAGGACTGACACCAGTGTCAACACCTCTAGTGCCATCGTGCTCAAGTCAGCAGCGTAACTCTGCTGCTGGCTGCGTTGATTTGTCCAGCCCAGATTCAGTCCCGCCCAAGCTTGTATCTTTGTGATGCCACAGGGGCAAGGAGGCCAATAGGGAGGTGCAAAGATAACATTTATGATACCAAAGTGGCCTCATCATGTTGCCTTGACTTGAGGTGAAAAGGTTTTGCTCAATATCACCTTCTCAATTTTGCTGCTGCTGCCAAGAAAATGCCTTTTACTACTGTTTGTGGAGTTTGACTTTTGTGCTGCAGGAAGCAATACCACACCTCAACAAGTCCATAATGTGGGTGTTGCAATATTCAGATGGGCAGCATTATTGTACCAAATTACCGTACTTAAAGTGCGCTCAAAACTGTTTCTGCTCAAGCATCTTGTAAAAGCTCACCACCCACATTTGGTCCTTAAAGACTTTTTTTTTTAAGAAGCATTAAGATTTTGTACTATGTATTGGATATATATATATATCTGTGATGTGAATTGTGAATAAAAGAGCTTTTGATAATCAGATGTTGGTGCAAGTGTTACTGTAGAGCATAGAACCTGATAGTGTTATCAAAGAGTTCAGAAACTTTTTTTCTCTTTTTGTACCACAGACTGTGCATATAGAATAACAGCATAATGAATGCTGCATATGCTTTTATTTTGATGTGCCTAAGGATCTTCAGTAGACGAGATGTTCAGACATTACTGATTTTCTAAATTTCTCTTCCATTGACAATCCTATCACAACACAAAAACTTTAATACATGGAAAGATGATATTGCTGACCTTAATGATGAGCTGCAAATTCACTCTACCATGATTGTCGCATGACAGTCCACTTAAGTGAAATGTTAATGGGGCAAAATTTAAAACAATTGAGCTGAGCCCACGTGACGATTTGTTAGTTTCACATCGTAATAGCCAATAAGAGTGTTTATTTATAAATAATAACTGATTGATACAATACTTTACAATGTGTAGTATTGAGTACAGGGCTGCCACTAACATAACACTGAATGGCTCTTCGGCAGATCAGTTCTGTGTGTGATTATCAGCTGCCAACAAGAACTAGTTGGCTAAAAGACAAATCGCAGCTCAGTGTGAGCATGGTATTCACATTCCAAAAGTCTTTAAGTACAGCACTGCCAGCAGTAGGATGTTGTCTGCAGGACATCCATCTAGCAATTAACACAGCCACAGGTAATGTCACTTATCTATCTTCCTTCATCTCTTCCCCCCTCCCTGTAATTAACACAGCCAGAGGTAATGTCACTCATCTATCTACCTTCATCTCTTTCCAAGAACAATTTCTGCAGTCAAAACTTTGTTCCTTTTTCTCCTATTTTTGAAAATAGTCTGTATTAATACATTTAATGGCATCTTATATCACCAATTTATTACTTCCCAAATTTTTATTACTGTGTTACTATTTCTGTATATTGAAATACTAATTTCAGAGACATCCTTTTTTTATCTGTAGGAAACATTTTTGTAATTATGTTACCAACTTAGATAAGAAAAATATACAAAGATGTTAGAATACTCAAACTAATTCATATCCCACAAAGTAAAAGTACTAATGTTACCGGTTTTCTATATTAGTATAATGGGATCCTGTCAAGAACTAGCTAATTCATGCTTCCCAGTTTCCTTTAAACCTGTACTACTGCATAACATCATTTCTTCATTCCTGTTAGGGCAGTACTTTTCAGGTGAGTGGGTCAAGAGGTCTCAAAAATAATGCAAAATTAATAATTATGTAAGTAAAAGGAAAGCTATCCCTGTAAGAGGCCGTGGAGGCCCACAGGGTTGTGAGATGTTGAGGGTCCCACCTTTACTAGACAATCAGCTGAAAGATGGCGGTAAGGTTGTCAGCCTTTTGTGCCAGCCGCGATTTACTCCCCATGAAAATTATTTAATTAATTCCTGGTACTCATTTCTTTTAAGAGGCTGAGTCGATCCCAGGGCCATAGTTAGGCTGGAAGAATTAGGTCAATTGAAAAAATCCAATGACCTCATCGGGACTTGAACCCGCGACCTTCTGGCTTGTAGCATAGCCCCTTAATGATTAATATAATATTAAAATGTACATAATTGAAAAAATATTTTTGGAAAAAGAGAAACTTGTTTTTACTGCGGTGGCACAGTGGTTCTATGACAATGCAGAACGCTCAGTTGAGATGACACTCTCTTGTGGGGTAAAGGGGGAAACTCACTGTCTCGTGTAACGTAAGCCAACTCAAGGTTCTGCAAATGTGACATGAATAAACTTACATAAAAATACTCATTTTTTTCTTCTATATATACTACATTTTTTACCATGTGGTGAATATGTGGAGGAATACACAAAACAGTAAAATGCCTATTCTGTTAAATATGGGGGATGGGGTCAGCAACGGGTGGTTCGTGGAACAGTATGACCTTGGTGTCGGCATTTGTACTATGCCCATCGACACAAAAGCACATACTACTTCATCCACTGTGATATTTTCCCAATTCCTCAGTCTAGAGCAAAACGTCAAAGGCATAGAAGTTTTTCAAATTTCCTACTGTCCACATTTGTTGGTTCCATTTACTACTAACGGCATAAGAGCTCCATCAAAAATGTTCTCAAATATGTCCACTGTCAGATATGTCAAACTGCAGGTTATGTCTGTTGCACTGTCACAAATTGTATGTGTTCCAGGAATCACTAACTGGGTGCAATCATCATCAATGTCACTATCATCATCCAAAAATAAATTTCCCCCCATGCAAAACTTCATATACAACTTAACAAATTTCCAATCTGTAAGCACATAAATGTCTGTTGCTTGGCCATGATGACTGTAATGTCAGATACTATTCATTAAGATTAATAGCCTGAGTCGTTTGCTGTGCAAGAAAGGTAATTCAAGAGACAAAAATAAAAACTACCTGAAACACCATTAACTCTATATGAAAGAATTTAGAATAGAAAACGTTAACTTCTGATGCATTCAATAACAGCAGTATTTACCAATTTTCATACCAATGATGATGTCGTAAGAATATTTAGACCAAACTGATAGGACCTTCAAAACCAAGTTTCATGGATACATTCATGATAAAAAAACAAACAAAAATAACTCAAAATATACTCAACATATTCCTGAAAGAAGACAGTCATACGGCCCCCTTAAAGACACTTTACAAACACTTCAGACAAGTGGATCTTATATAAATACATTAGAAAACATTACACATATGAAATACACCAAGAACATAACCGTCTTAATGACACATTTTCTGATAATAGCTAGCCAATATGACACAGGCCATTTCTAGGAAATGAAATGGCATATGCATATCTAGAGAGATGTGATTCATGGACGCAAACCACTGCTGGGTGTTAAACATTATCCACGGATACGAAAATGGAAAGTTGTAAACACTTGGAAACCAGACCACTGCTATGAAATTAACACACGTTTCTGCAGCAACAAATGAGGACAGAATAACAGGAACTACTGGAGATGGTGATCTCTATTTGGTTCACCCCAGAGTTTAAAGGGGAGGCGACACGTAACTGATTTAGTGAGTTCAAGGGTTTGGTCATAAGAGAATTCATAGTTCAGTTCAGTGTTCAGCTGTGGAATGTTAACCAGCAGACAGTGGAAGCCGAAGAAGTGACCAATTCATAAATCAGAACCAAGTCAGTCACATTGGAAGAGAAGACACTCGTAGTCCAGTAAGGAATGGAGCGAGCTTAGGCAGTCATTGATTGTGAGCTGTGGTAATTCATTGTAACAGAAGGCATCAATAATTCTGATCATCCAATGCAGGACCCATTATTATTCGTCACGGAACCCCAGACACATGACAGTATGATGTCAACATCAGCTTACAAGACAACAATGACCACAATTAGGAACACTCCCCCCCCTCCCCCCATAACGGTAGCATACCTACCAGTTGTGAACAAACTGTATTCATACAATGACCACCACCACACAGTCACTCAACTTCTGCTATCTCAATAAGTCAAAGAGCTTTACCTCCTTCAATATTCTATTTCTATGCACTCAAAATCATAAAACCACCCTCTTATACAATTTTCAGATAATTTCCTTATGGACACACATTAAGCCAACAGCCCTTACTACAAAATACACACAATACTACACTTGCTAAGTATAATTCCATCCCTTAACAATTAAAGATTAATCTACTTATAGACTCTCACCATAGTTAAATACCCCATTATTTGAAAATTTCTGAACACCCCCTCAGCTACTAACCTAATGCCACAATGTACTTTGAATATAAAAGAATTATCTTGCATCACAGAACAGTATTTAGCATGGCCTGACAAGAAGAAAGTGCATGCTGAACAGTCACAAGTAGTACAAATGAGTGAAGAGCCAAAATTATATAACAAGATCTGAGCTAGAAAAACTTTTATCAAGTGTTCATTGAACTGAAAATGACTATGTTGTGTACTGTGATAGGGACTAACAACTTGAATACATATGTCCACATAAAAAAATAAATCACATTCGACCCAATTTATTGCTTTTTACATTCTTACACACTGTTAGATCTTTGCACTTACATCACAGGCATTTTACTAGTTTGTGTTTTCCATCTGATGACTGGTATCTGTGGTTAAAACATACTTCATGTATTTAGAAACAAAAAAATTGTTAATATCAGTTTGTTTGTGTGAGACAGCTGGCCTAAGAACTTTGAACACTGAACAGGAATAGGATGCAATCATATGAAAAAAAATATGTGAGCTAATTCCCGTTTTGTTATTGGTCCTTTGAAGTGTGACCCAAACAGGAGCACATAACCATCACAGCTGGAGTTCTTTACAGCCAAATAATTTCAACACATACACCACACACAACTGCACACACTGACATTGAAGTATAGCTGACAGATTGCTCTAAACTGGTAAAAAATGGAGATCCTCCAAATTGAAGGCTGAGAGAGAGAGAGAGACATCAGTGAAACAGAAAATCAAAACATACAAAACAGGTTCACTCAGATTATCCTCATTACAAATGGCACAAATTTAGAAGCATCTGTTTTCCTGTTCAATAAGGTAGGGCAAGTAGTAAGTATGAGGCTATCAAGGTGAGGTACCCCGCACTGGGAACATAAGAAGCTTGGCCTGCAGAAAGGACAGGTCTGGAAGCTCATCCAGTACTCTCACTGTGTCTGGGCTCAACCCCTGTCTGCTGGACATAACCAGTGTAGACTTGCCGGATGCTAGGATCTGCTGCACCAGCGAGCTGCTTGTGGATGCCTCGGGCACTGCAAGAAGTCACAGACATCATCACAAGGGGCTGCCCTGCTAAGGTGGAAACCGCCTAAGCCAATTTAACCCGCAGAACTTCATCCTCTAAGGTCCAAGTGGACATTTTCAAAGAGGTTTACCCATAAAAATTTTATTTGATTTGAGGTTGTCAGAGTAGACTGCTACCTTCTGGGATGTGATGGTGTGTAGTCTGGTAAAGGTATGTTTCACAAGAACAACTTCCATCTTTAGGGCTGAAGGTTCTATCCTCAATATGGAGGCACATGTTCATCTGTCAGTAACCTTCTACAAGGCTCCCACAAGATTGCAGTCTTTAACATTTTGTATATTTTTTCTCTCTTCTGTCCTTCCCCTCTGAGACACAAGTCCAACCCACTGTGTAGCAACCACTATAATATCAATAAGCATGCTCTTAGCATCTAATATTCCCCACTTACCTTGCAGCCAAACATTTTCCTGTGAGAAATTCTATTTTGTTTTTAAACACTTGCAGTTATGTTCTTGCCTTGAACTAAGAAACCATGTTTCACAACCACACAAAACAGTGAATACTTTAACTCTGATAGAGGATCTTACCATTATACAGACTGATTCACTACATGCCATTTGGTAAAGAGGCAACGACCAGCAATCCTGAGGTTTCTCATGGTTTTCCTCAGTCTATCAAACATGCCTCAAACTAGCAGTCATTTATATTCTACTTCTGCACTGGTACCAACTATCTAGCACATAACTTTACTTACTGGTGCAGGTGCTCCAGGTGCTGCCAGCCATGTTGGAAGCAGAGGGGGAGGGGCAGGTTAAGTTATCGAAGGTGTTGAGATAGTCAAGTTCGAGAAGTGCCGAGTTGGCACCTTCCACAAAGGAAGGGTGAGGGTAGGGGGGAAGAAAGAACAAACAATGTGCCATTAGTTACTGCACAGCCTAACAGAGGGATTTGCATACAGAAACACAAGAGGCATGTTCAAAATGGCATCAAAGCAGGCTACACACCCTCTGAAAATTAAATATCATTAGAACTAAGAGGCAGGTCGTAACAATGCATATATTCTGGGTTGTGTAGTCTGCAGACACACTGACATTTCAGAAGGACATATGACCTCCATCTTCAGAGTCAAAGAGTAAGGCAAAAAAGAAACCAGTACACAGAGATGGGTAAGCTTGACTTACACTTCAACCCAGAAGATCGAGACGGTATTTCTCTGAAACATTCTAACATTCATACACCATAGGCCTGACATTCTTCGGAAATTTGCATGACTGAGTGGGCTGGCAATGTGATAAACTCCAGACTTCTATTTAGGAGATGATCAGTTCAAATCTTGGCCAGGATACTGGATATCCTGATGCAGGGCTTTTTGTATCTTTAGGATAGTACTTCCATGCAGGCCGATAGGGTTGTGAGATGTCGAAGCTCCCACATTTTCTAGACAGTGGGCTCAAAGTTGGTGGTGAGGTTGTCAGCATTACGTACTGGCCGCCCTTTACCCTAAGGAAGATTCCACAAAAGAATAACTCTGAATGGGCTCAGGACACAGTGGGGAGGGGGGGAGGTCTCTCTTTCATGCACACACATGCACCAGAGTGTCTGTGAAATCAAGAGACAATTGTTGATATTTTTGATCAATCAAGGCTAGCCATGGAGTGGAATTACTGATACTAGAAATGAAGTCTGCAAAACAGTGACATTTTAAATTAAAAAAAAAAAGTTAGGATTGTCAAGTAAGTAATTACAATTCTTTATGACTGAGATCTGACTAATTGCTTAATATGCTCTTTTTATAAAACAAAAAAAAAAATAGGTTCTTGCAGTGGTGACTGTGCAGGATATACATAGGGCACTCAAAAAGTTCCCAGAATTCCGCTGCAGACGGAGAACGAGTGATAAGATAGCACACACACTGTTGTGGTGGGAAGCTCAGCATGTCTGCTCGCAGGCGCAACAGGTCTGGACAGGTTTCAGTATGCAGTGTTGTTACTGTTCTGTTTGAAATAGACGCGAGTGTTGGTCATTCGGCACAATGTTGCAGTTCGAACAGCGTGCGAACATCAAGTTCATGTACAAATTGGGAAAATCCGCTTCAGAGATGCTATTGGCCCTGCAGCAAGTTTACGGTGATACTGCACTAAAGAAATCCGCAGTTTATGACTGGTTTCCCTGGTTTAAGAATGGGCAGGAGATATTAGAGGATGACCAGCACAGTGGGAGACCTTCAACATCCAGAACTGAGGAAATGATTGGAAAAGTGCGACAACTGATTCGATGTGATTGAAGAATGACCATCACGGAGATGGAGCAAGAAGTTGGTACTGTTACTGGCCATTTCTACGTGCAAGTTTTGCAGAGGTTGTGCGATGCGGTTTGGAGAAAGCGGCGCAACAAGTGGCAGGGACAGTGGTTTCTGCATCACGATAACACACCAAGCCACACATTGCTTGTTGTGCAGCAATTCCTTGCTGAGAAAAGCACTCCTGTCATCACTCAACCACTGTACTCTCCGGATCTCATTCTTAGTGACTTTTGCCTCTTCCCTACTCTGAAAATGGGCCTCAAGGGGACATGTTTCGCAACCATGGAGGACATCAAATCAAATGCAATGGCTGAGCTCCGGAAGATTCCAAAAGAAGCCTTCCACTGCTGCTTCCAACAATGGCAGGATCGATGTGTGTGCACGTGCAAGGGTCCTACTTTGAAGGTGATTAGGTACGTGTTGCCGTACGTCCTACCATTACAGTGGTATACCACCATTCCGGGAACTTTTTGACTGACCCTCGTATAATCTTTTGGAATATGAGACCATGTAGTCTGGAAGAAGTTTACTGATGCTCTTTACTTGCGGGTTCCTCTGAAACACTGGTAAACTTCTATCAGACTACCTGGTATCACATTCCAGAAGGTGGTAGGTACTGTTCAATACATGTGTCTCTTGAAATCTGTCACAAAATGTGAGTCCAGACTGCTGAAAACTATGTCACACACACTAATGTCAGAAAACACATGTAACATGTTAAGGTAAATAAAAAATATAAGTTCATGTGTTAACTGATGTATCAACCACAGAAAATAATCAGCAAATAAGATCTTAATTAACCATTTAAAGCCCAGTGGTTACTATAAGTACCACCTGCTTTAACATACTATAACTCCGTATTCCGACCACAGAGTGTATCTGCATGTTCTGCATGGTTCTCACAATAAACAGTGGTTATTTCCCTAAACAGCATTAACCAGTTGGGCTTTGTAGCGGAGACGTAATGTCTTTCCTGTGAGGTACAGTCTTTAAAGGGTTAACGAGCCCAATTAATAATTACAACCAAAAATATTTATTCCTCCCCATCAAACTGTGTGTACAAATGTACTACAATGATAAGTTAAGGTAAAATAGTGCTTGTAGTTAAAAGTATGTAGTGGGGATATAGTGTCAATGCTCCAGGCATTCATAACACCACCAGCCAATTGGGATATCATAAAATAAGAGAAGCAGCTCTGTTCTTGAACATTTCATGAAATAAATATTGTCACCAAACTTATCCGGGAAATAAAAAGGCTGCATTAATTGTGTAACCAGTGAGGCACAGTTTGGCACTCAACAGGAAATTTACTCGATGCTGAAAATTCATCTGAAATTTTTACTCATTAATTGTATCTGCTAAGTAATGGATGTGCTGATGAGATGCACAATTGTCAATAAAACAATACACATGACAATTCACCCACAATCCCTCTCTATAAATTAGCTCAAACAGTAGGACTTATCAGAGAAGTGTGCTGGGTATAAAATAAGTGCTTTACTTCTCTATACAGTGTTTGTATGAATACTTTTTGCTCCAAATATCTGGTGAGCTGCACTTAGGATGTACATATAGATCTTCGTATACAATGTCTGTCAATGGTGTATGATTTTAAACACAATTGGAATGTGCCAACAAATTTTAATAAAACTTTCCAATATCAATTTTAATTAAAATCCATTAAGTTGTTCCAGAGTTGTCTGTTCTATGAGGACAGGTAAAGGCGAAGCTAACAGGTCCACTTCTGAAACTTTCTATTGCCAAAGCATAAAAATTGAAAAGTTATAACATGTAATCAGTACAGTGATTTACACTGCTATAGTTTAATAGTATAAATTCACTGAATGCTGAAGACAGAACACAGACACCCAGAATTACTGGGCTTTTGGACTATGTCCATCATCTGGTATTCTAAAATACTGGAGAACACAACGTTTCTGAAATTGGATCTGTTTCCATCCTCAATTGGGGGGAGGGGGAGACACCTACTCCTCAATCAGTCCAGGAAGTTGGGGTTCATCCTTGTACATGCCAGAACCACCAATCTTGCTTCTGTTTTACAATATTCTCCCTTTGCACTAACACATTCTTTTCCATCATCCTGGCAAGTTACTAATGAAGGAAGCATAGATAGTTTCATCCCAAATGTATAGTCAGTTCAAGATATCACATTTGAGTTCATCATCAGCTAGAAATTTCTGTCCGCCTAGATGCACCTTCACTGGTCCAAACAAATAATTCACTAGGGCTAAGTCAGGGCTATAAGGAGGGTGGTTCATGATTTCCCACCCAATTTTTGCCAATATCTTTGTCAAATATGCTGCATGTGGACAAGCTTTGTCATGCAGTACAATAATATTTTAATAGATGTCCAACTCTTCCCTTCTGAATCACTTGGTGCACATCTCTGCAAAGCAAGTAACTGTAACATAACACAGAGGAAAATCAACATGAATCATTTCTTCTGAATCCCAAAACAGCTAAAAGCTTCACCCATGTCTCATCACAGATCACTCTTTACTCTGGGAATGGGTTTTCCCTCCAATTCAAACCAGCGCATATATTTGGCAGATATAGCAACATGCTTCACCTTCAGGTATAACATTAACATCTTGCAGACCCACTGGGCGCACACTTGCTTAAACAATACGCATTCATGGATAAATGTTTCAACACTTTCAACATTTATGCTATAGTGGGATGCAATATTATACACTGGAATTCACCTGTTTCCTAAAATCAGCTCTTTGGCATGGTGAGTGTTTACATCACCTACTGATGTTGGCCAAATGTGAACATGTGGTAGATTCAAGACTTGTTTACAGCCTTCAGAAAACTTACTGTACCATCACAGACACTTCCACAAGGCAGGGTTTCTTCCCCACAGTGTGCACATTAGCTACGAGAATATCTGCTGGTTTCACTTTCTCTTGTCACTAGGAATCTGATGATACAGCGCTGTTCTACATTAGGAGTGACAAGGTCTGATGTCATTCTGTGGTAGCCCTTAATGCACAGAAGCAAAGAAGCATGGCTGACTGCCAGGCAGTGAGTGAAGACATAGTTTTAATTTTCTGGTGCCCATGTCTTGGGGGGGGGGTAAAATAAAGACCAGGATAACCTTGAACCACCCTCATAACACAAGACTCAAGTAGGGTTGCCAAAGGCGAGCTTGAAACACACTTAATTTGCACCATTAACATAAAATTAGCGATGTCAATTGACATTTGTACAGTTCACATACTGATTCTGTACAAAGTGTGCTGATGTTCCAAGAGCTCATGGTCACATTGTCACTTCATAACATTTCAGACAAGGTATCAACATGACGACTTGAGGGGTTTCTTATGCAGGCCATAGAGTCACTGACTGGTACCTGGTGTCAAGTATGACTAAATATGCCTCACAGCTAATTCCATGAAGGTATTTGAATTCATGTAATTTTTCATGCCAAGTCAAGTTCCATGCACTACAAATTAATAAAACTATCTCAAAGATCCATTTAAGGTGTTATTGCACAAAAGATATCCATGACAGTGTGACTGCAGTGCTTGTTTGTTTTGTGAACTACATATTGATAATGTAAATGTGGGAACAAGATACTTACAGTCCAGAGGGTTCACAAGTCCACTGCTGTTCCAGTCAAACTGAGCAGCTGGCACCACTACTTCCTGCAAAATTAGCATTTCATACACGAATTAACTCATCAGTTCAGTGCATTGCACACCTTCATATTTTTCTTCTCAGATCCATTTTAATATTATCCTTCCTTCTATGCCTACAGTTCTTAAGCAGTCTCTATCCCTAAGCTTTCCTGACCAAAATTTACTTCTGTTTACAGCTACAACTAACCAAAGTTGGTCAGAAACACTACAGCTTGGCAGGAATTACAATTCTGAAACTCTCCAACTGTACTACAAACCTCTGCTGTGGTTTCCACCAGAGGCAATTCTTTGGCTGGCTCCAGTAGGGTGGGAGAGCTTCCACTAGCCCGCATCGGCTCCAGAGGACTGAAGCCAAGGTTTGCAGCAAATCGTGGCACTAAAGCATTCCATCGTGGACCAAAGAGCTGGAAAAGCATTATATTTTGAAGAAGGTGAAAAATTTGTCTGACCTGTTGGAGCCAATATTAACGTTCAAAGTGAGAAGGATTCAATCAAGAAGTCATATTGCAGGTGAACAATGTTCATGCTGAAAAGTACAGTCTACAATGTTAATTTTAGTTTCTGAGGAAGGGCTGCTTACATACTGCAATAGACCAAAAAGTTGTGCAATACTGGACTCCACTCCAAAGTCATTACTCAACAGAACGCTTGCCACAAGGGTTCAAGTACAGTTCATGTGCCATAGCTGCAATGCTGATTCACACCCATCCCTTATGGCCAGAACATCACACAGGATTGTGAACACAAATTTTGCAAAGAGAATCAGCCTAATGTAGAAGAAGTACACAGAAAATGGTGTGGCCATGGATCTGAACTTAACTTCTACATGTGTTAGGTCTGTGATGCCAGTTCAATGTAGAATCCTGTATTTATTTTACACGCAAATGAATTATCGGTGGCACGCTGGTATGACTTTTGGGTGCATAACAAACTGTCAGAACTGTGTGGGTGGGACAGATAGGCAGAAATAAAATAATGGACAGGCTTTGGCTTGTAAGAAAATCTTCTAATAAGTGACTGGTTGCAATGGCAATAGGTAATGCAACTGAGCGAAAAACTTTTAAATTCTAAGTTCAGATGCTTCAAAAGAAATGTTCAATTATTCTTCACTATTTTCACATGTCCATGATAACCAGTCCAGAAAGTAGTAAATATTGCCAAATCTACAATTATGGTTCCTTACACCTTAGTGAAATGGTGTGGGGGCACGCGGTAGTGTAGTTGGTTGAGGCACTATGCTACAAGCCAGAAGGTTGCGGGTTCAAGTCCCGACGAGGTCATTGGATTTTTTCAGTTGACCTAATCCTTCCAGCCACACTATGGCCCTGAGGTCAACTCAGCCTCTAACAGAAATGAGCACCAGGAATTAATCAAATAATTTTCCTGGGGAGTAAAGTGCTGCCGGTGCATAAGGCTGACAACCTTACCACCATCTATGAGCGGATTGTCTAGATAATGTGACCCTCAACGTCTCACAACCCTATGGGTCTTCATGGCCTCTTACAGGGATAGCTTTACTTTTACTGTTTCTTTTTTAAGTGAAACGGTGTCCTATACAAGTTATGAAAAGATGGGCATCAAGTGGTATTGTATCTAGAACAAATTTCAGGTATTACAAGTACAGGCTAGAGTGAACACTCTTACAAATTTTTATACATTCTCATTATATTATATTTGAAAAGTAATTTCATATCCTCAAATAATTCAAATCTGGTAACAGGTTAGCTTAGTTTAGCCACTTCATTCCCTTCACATTAAAACAGTAAATGAGACAAAAGTGTTCATGATTTATTCTGACCGTCTTACAGTGCATACATTTATTCACCTTACTCTTCTCTCTTGCACTACATGTTTCAGCACAAAAGTGCCATCTTCAGGTGCTTTTTGATGTACGTCGAACTACTTCATTGCATGCCCTGTTGTCTTTATTCTAAAATAACTAAAATATATATTCGTCATATATATTGATATATTTTAAATATTAAAAATATTAAAACTGTTCAGGATTTGTCATCCTTATGTCGTATCTCAATACACGAGTCACACCTATCTTCTTCTATTGGGAGTATTCTTCCTACTTTCTTGTGTGTACTGTGCTTTGTGTTGTGTCTTGCTCCTGTGACTGCGTGTGTAGCATATGGGTGTGTGCCACAAAGACCACTGTACCATAAAGTTTTTTCAAAGGATTAAACCAAATGATACTTTGTGTTTGTATTCTAAATATTCATTAATTCCAATGACTTACAATGTTACGTGAGTCGATGCCTAGTGCTAGCAACAGGTGTTTATTGGCAGCTGAACCAGACCACTGATATGACAGTGCATGGCTACTCTCCATATCCTGCAGCTTACACCAAACTGTGGCCAGTCTCTCAGCCAGGGGTGGTACGTTTATCTCTACCAAGCTGATGCTACTGTTGAATGGGAACAGCATGTTGATAACCATCTTTAGTTTACGGGCCAACTGAAAAATGATCACAATAGAACTGTGGATGATTTGGAACTCCTGCACTGTAGTTTTCACTTGTTCACATTAGAAGTCACAGACCTGCAGTGAGACCACCACAGAACTACAACCTACGTGTTATTTTCACACAACCTAGAGAGTTACAGCTTTCAAATTTTATGCTGATTTTTTTACTTTCAAGCTGCCTTTTATAGAATTTGCTTTACATTTATGATACTTTTCATATTACAAATTTAATTCCTAAATGACTGGATATGAAACAAGTTCCATTATAGTTTTCACTTGATACAGAATTTGTGACAGCCTTCAGAGTCCCTTTGTAATTATGAAAACTTCCAGAAGTGGCCAAACATCAACTCTTACAATGGATACTCACTTCCCCATCATCCAAGCCAACACAACTCACAGGAGCAGTTTCAAATTCATCGAAATCATAATCATCATCACCATCATGAACAGCAGCTGGGACAGGCTGAGTTGCAGCAGCCCAGTTATCTATCGGTCCATCTGCCACAGGGCCCTCAAACACTGCAAAATCCTCACTCATCGCAACACTTTCAAAATCCCCAAAATCATCCACATCACTGGTTTCCTGAGGCAAATGTCTGCTGCTCTGACAACTGGAATCTGTCCAGAATGCCCCTGTATCCAATGCACAGTCTGTTGTGCCAAATTCTTTCTGCAATTCGACCTCTGTATCAGTTGACTTTATCAACGTCTCATCACTTCCACTAGACTCTTCACAAGCACCAGTCACTTTTGGTCCCACACCATCAGTATCTTGTCTTGCACTGCAGAGTCCCAAGCCAGTGGCTACAGACAAAATGGAGTCCTGGGTCACGCTGTCCACGACTCTGAGACCTGCCTTCTTTCCATCATCAACTTCTAGCTGAGTCTCACAGCTGTGTTTAACACTCTCCTCCCAGAATGTGCTGCTGATGGTTGGTAACTTGAGAGAAGTTTCAGGAGCATCTGAAACAATTCAAAACCTTCACCAGAACTAAACTCTGACAACCAGAATTTTGGTACAGGCCACAACCACTTCCTTCCACATTCTTTGCAATTCATTACATAATAATCATCCATCATTCGACACTATATACTCTGAGCTATTGTCAGCGTCATTAAAAAAACTGTGAATAAAATAGGCAGATACTTATTTTAAAATCATAAATCCAAGAACTATACGTATATAGCCTACATTGAGCTAATTCAATCTAAATTATATCTTCACAAATGAGTTCTCTACCATTAATTTTTAATATTACTGGGCCATCTATGCTTAGTCTCCCAAATGATCTCCTGTAGTGAAGTTCCTCTACAAACAGCATACATACTTCTTTGTTTGCCTCATCAAAATGGCTTGAATGTGCTCTTCAGTCAAAGTATCACCAACACTAGGTCACAGTATCTGTCTACATTAGGTACCTTGTACTGTATGGAGGCTAGTCTAATCTAGAAGCAAAAACATAGTAAGTGTACGTTCAAGTCATTAGAACAAAGGATAAGTCTACAACATATGGACAGCGACAAATCCAAATAACATTCACGTAATAATTAATGACACAATCCTTGCTATCACTCAGTTCACAATCTGTTTCTAAAAACATATATGAGTAGATTAAAACATACAATACTGTAATTCAACCTGCTGCTTTGTATGGGTATGAAACCTGGGGTCTCAAATAAAGGGAAGAACACAAACTGAGGGTGTTTGAGAATAGGGTACTGAGAGGGGATATTTGGACCTTAGATGGCGGAAGTGAATGGGAGGAGAGGGAAAACAGCTTAACAAGAAGTTCAGTGAGAGTAGGGCCAATGAGCCTCTTGAGTTCCATGTAAGTTGGGGAAATTCTTGACCAGCTGAGTAGCTATTAGCATCTGAAGGATTGTTTCTACATGGAGTTTAACTGATATGTATGGACATGTAGCATGAATGGAGGAAACAAGAACTGATCAACAACAAAAAAATATACAACAAAGTTATCAGCGAGGCTAAAAAGTTACACAACAACATGCGAATACGATCATCTGGGAATAAATCAAAAGCCATGTGGGATTTAATCAAAGAAGAATTAGGCAATCAGCAAAAAGTTCCAAAGAACATTGAAATAGAAGTGACTGGAACAGCTATACAGGATCCCAAAGAAATAGCCAATGTTTTTAATGATTACTACACTAACATTGCCCAGCATATCCGGAGTAACAATCCGATAGCACAAAATAATGTAGACAGGATAAATACAATAAA